ACGCATTTACTACACCAACACACACACACACACACACACACACGTCTCTAAATAAACAGTTCAGGATGCATGCTGTCCAGCCATCCCACGCTTTGGCAGTCCCTTTAGAGAGGTGCGATGACCTCACCAATGTGGCCGCCTGGCCCCAGTGACCCTGGGTGTAAGTAGGTTCGATGCATCAGGAGGGAACACAGAAAGTGGAAAGTCCTGACCGTGTCGGGGAGCAACAGGCGGCTGGAGAGAGGACAGCCCGCTCCCACCTCCCACCTCCCACCTCAGGAAGCCTCACAGGCACAGACACTACCCGAGATGACCCCGCGGCTCACCAAGTTTCTTCATCACCAGGAGCACGGGCCACTGGACATGAGCGCTCAGCTCTGGCAGTGTGAAGACAAGGTGCTGGGAAACTGGTGGTGCAGGTTAACGGCGGCTGTCACAGACGGGTAGACGGGAAGCAGGAGCCTCACAGCCCTCAGGGTCACACCCATGCTGCACTTTGTAACAGCACCCAGGGCCAGGAGCTAGGCTCTCACGGCAGACAGCGGCCACAGAAGCCTGGTACTCTACCCAACTTCAAAAACAGAAAGGAGATATCTGAGTACAACAAAAGGGGAGAGGCAGGCATGGTGGCGCAGGCCTGTAATCCCAGTACTTGGGAGGCTGAGGCAGGAGGATCACTGCAAGTCTGAGATCAGCCTGGGCTACAAAGTGAGCTCAAGGCCAGCGTGAACTGTATAGCGAGAACTTCTAGCAAAAAAAAAAAAAAAAACCAAGAAGAGGGGAGAGGTGGGCGTGGTTCAAGGCCAGCCTGTATTACATAGCAACACCCTGCCGCAAAGAAAGAAAAAGAAGGGAGGGAAACATATGAGTGAAAGTTTTGCTGAAAAAATAATATCTAAGAATAGATAAGAGGCAGGCCTACTGGCCTACGCCTATAACCCCAGCACTCTGGGAGGCTGAGGCAGGAGAATGGCAACACCACAGTGTAGCAAAACCCTGTCCCAAAATTTTAAAAACGCTTGGAACAGAGTCCGTGCAAAAACCCTGAGTTCAATCCACAATGCCACAAAAAGAGAGAGAAAAAAAAGAATAGATGCAATTTCAAAAGAAATGGAAGACTGGACATTTCAGCAAAACTGCTTTCTAAGTCCCGAGCTGGAGTGGAGACTGGCTGTAAAGTGATGCTGTTTTTCTCCACTGGCTTGCATTACCAATTTACAAACACCTTCCTAGCTCTACCCTCACAGACCAACGAACGGCCCAGGCCCCCTCAGCAAGGAACCACTCAGGGAGTCGCAGGCGTTATTCTGCTTGCGCTCTTCCCCACCCTCTGTACCACACAGGACGAACCTCCCCCGCTGCCCCCGCTGACAGCACCAGCCACCCAAGCCTGCGGTCTCAGGAACCCAGAGTCAGCACTGAGGGGTGCTCCTTCCCTCCCTGCACCAGGCCCTCCCCCCAGGCAACGATCCATCAGCCACGTCCTTCTCCACGTTCTCACCCAGTTCAAACCCAGCTGCTCCTCTCCAACCCCACAGCCTCTGCTGCACTTCAACCGTCACCTCCTACTCCTCTACAGGGGCTGAGGCGACGGCCCTGCAGCCTGTAACTGTACTAAGTAAACTTTAATTTAACATGTCATAAACCAAGCTCTATAAAGTTACTAGTTTATATAACTATATAACAACAGCAATATAACCAAGTTCTTCAGAACATTTAAAACTTATTTCCCCAGCAAAAAGAAAACAGTTTTAGGTTGGGTTTTGTTTTGTTTTGTTTTTGGCGGGGGATGTTTCTTTTGAGACAGGGTCTCACTACGTAGTCCAGGCCAGCCTAGAACTGGTGACGATGCTCCTGCCTCAGCCTCCTGAGTGCTGGGATTACAGGCGTGCACCACCTCACCCAGCCAAGAAAAGTTTTTAAAATTATTTATTTTTACAGGCCGAGAATATAGCTCAACAGTAGAGCGCTTGTCTATTACACGTGAAATCCTTGGTCTGACCCGCAGCATCACACAAACAAACAAATAAAAAGTTAATTTCAATGGAGTTAACTTCTGTTTCACATGAGAAAATAACATTAGCTCTTTTCAGCTATTGACATAACTGCTGTTGAGTGCTAAAAGAAGAAAATGTTGACTAATTTTAATAAAACAGTAAAATAGGGGCTGGGGATTTAGCTCAGCAGCACAGCACCTGCCTGGCAAGCACAAGGTTGTGAGTTCGACTCCCGGTATCAGAAAAAAAACAAAAAACAAAAAAACAAAAAGCAGTAAAATATACACTATTTCATTTAACCCTCAAGTCTAAAGTCACACATACACGGAAGCAGTGAGGGCCAAACATAAGCAACATTCTCGAGGCTGTCACTGGCAGCTCGTGTGTACATCAGCACAGTAACTGAGGTACAGTTAAGGTCAAGAAACTGACAGAACGTGCTCCAATCGTAACACGTGGTGCTTGTTACAGACCTATAGGGACCTTGCATATGTTCTGTGCGCCAAGAGTTCTAACTCTCACCCTAACCATCCCTTGAGCTATTTTCTAGAGTTCCTGTTCACACGTCGTATCTCCCGACCCAGACTATAAAACCGAGGGTCAAAACTGTGTTACCTTTCTGAAGAACTACCAAATTTGAGCCCGGAACAAATAAATTCAATACATGCTTGCTCAATTTATACCAACAGACATGGTACTCCATGAACGGACATGGCATGCAAAAAGACTTGTCTGTACTTTATCTCCTGTGACTGACATAGCACCTAAAATATAATAGGAGTCTAAGTGTTTGTGAAAATTAAATACAGCAAAACCCAAGAAGTTATCAAACACCCTCTCTTCTACAGTTTTCCGTTCATTCAACAAATACCTATTTATCAAGTGTCTGTGCCAGGCTGTCTGCAGCTCTGAAACCTAACTACCCGACAGAGGTAGAGCCTTCCTCAGCAGCAAATGCATCTCCAAGCTCAGCTCCTCCTACGGGTAGAGCGACCACGCAAAAGCCCCGCTTTGTACCCACTGTACCAGCATGAGTGAGAGCATCTCCTCAACAGGGCCCGAGCCTCCGGCATGAGCAATCTTTCTCAACAAGCACACCCTGGATTTAGAAATTTCACTGCACATTTACCAGTTACTCTCAGTCTGCTGTATACGTATGACTTTAATCACAGGATTAAACGGAATGGGTCTATACAAGGAAGCAGCCGGAGAACAGCCTAGAACATGAGACTGTTCTGGTACTGCCGGGAGCCCTGCAAGCGAGGAATGCGGGCCTTTAACACTAACTAGACAACAGGAAGTCATAAAACTCTGAGGAAGGAGGTGAATGTACAAAGCACGGGGAAAGGGCGATTACCTTGATTATGGGGAAGAAGTGACACTGAAAGAACAAAGAGGAACAGCTGGCCCCAGGTCTTCTCGTGTAAACGACAGCCTACAACTATCAATAAAACTTGTCACAGATGAAAACGGCAACAAATTAGCCATTCCACCTTACGCCTTCCCCGCAGTTTCAAAGTTTCCAGGATACACAGAAGCATCTGAGCAAGCTCTCTTCGCGGCCCTGTGGTGCTGGAGTTCGCACTGCGAAGAGCAGCCCTGTTCTCTGCGGGTCGCACCGGGGAGCTGCGACTCGATGTTTTGTTTTTCCTTTGAGGCCCACATTTCAAGCGCGTTCACACTGGTTACCAGGAGCTTCCGGCGGTAGACAGATGCAGCGGGCCCTAACCCGCGCCCTCCACATCGCCCACTGTTGCATCACTGGAAACCCGAGTCACCTCCCGCCCGAGCGACTGTGAAGCCGCAGTCCGGTGAAACGGCAGGCGCGGCGGCCGCAGCCGCTCGGGGGGCCGCGGGAGCCGGGCCCCAACTTCAGGGCGAGCGGCCCCCTAGCCG